CTCGCTGGGTCTGTCGTCGGCAACCCGCCAAAATGGCAGCCCGCTTCCCTTTGGTGTTCCCCCAAAACGAGCAAACGAGACATGTCAAGGGCTTATGCTAATGGAAAATTAGGAGCGCATACCTAATCGAACATGAAGCCTCGTCTAAAGAACTGAGTTGCTTTGGCGAATTGCCGTTCAGTGGTTGGTTCCTATCTGAGCATGACTACTTTATCACAATAGAAGAGGAATTCTGTGGCGATTCACAGAAAGTGACAAGTTCACATCAAGTGATGTGCAGCTACTAGACTGGGCTGAGTTGGTCGGTCTTTCTGCCATTCCTGGGTTTCGGAAGGCTCCGACAAGGTTCTTTGGATGTTCCGGATGCCGTTGGGCATGCTTCTTCTTGTTTCTTCTTTCCAAGTGGGTGTGGGTCAAAGATAGGTACCCAAATGGAACCCTGGGAAATGGAAACAAGGACTATGAATGGTCCCTTGTCACCCATACCCAAGTAGCTGTTTCACTGGATTTCCCAACATCAAGAACTAGTCAGTTTGTACTGGCTGTTTACTGCCACTTGTGGGGGTCCACACATCCTTGTAGCGAGGGCACGTGGTCCATTCGGGAAACCTTAAGAACCCCGCGCAAAACCAGAACAAGTGCCTTTGCACAAGTGCCTTCGCCGTTCCGGGTAAACACGGCTTTGCCTCAGGTTTTTCAAAGGGCACGCTTTGTAAGGGGCACTTTTGACACTCACCGGTACTCCAAATCCAAGCTTAACCTTCTGGGAGACCGCTTCAAAGGGAAGCCCAAAATGTTTAATTTGTTTTCTTCCCTGTGGTTCGATCTTCGGAGAGGGTCAACTTTAGACCTCGCGACTTCAAGGCCCTTGTGTTGTCACGGTTTAGAGGGAAACCAACAAAAACGGTGCCAAAATCGGGAGCAAGAACTTCAGCAAAAGATTGCCAGCTGTTTTTTGACCTCCCATGTCGCTATGTTCGACAAAGGCCCTAGTGACAAAACCAGCAACCGAAGATCTCGTTTTGGATGGTGCTAAGCAGGAAATATCGTGAAGCTGTTGCCATCTGAGGGGTCCCCATTTTTCCGAACCAACTGGAAATCGATGCCATTCATACGGACTCCCAAGTTTGTGGAAACACACTTTTCAGATGAGGTTGAGGACTTTGCCTCCTGTCTAAGAAGCATCACTGGGGCTCAATAGAAAGGCAGTCGTGGGACGGACTCCTGGTCATCAATTTCTTCGAATTTCTGCGGACCATATTGATTCGAGGAATCCCATGTTTTTGACTGCCCGCGCTTTGGGGGGGAAGCAGCCCTTCCAATCCTTTGGGCTCCAAAGTCGACTTGGGTGACTTGGCCTCAGGAGTTGTCCAGGCCAATCGGACTGTAGCACGCATGGTCCCTGGATCGCACGGAGCCGCAACGGGCTCCTTGGCCACTATCAATGTGCTCGCTGCAACGCTCAAGAGCAGATCTGCCACATGTGGGTGCGGCCGCTCCAGCAACTTCTGGCGCGTGCTGCTTCTGCAAATGGCCCTGCTGCTGCAGATACGGCGGCCAACTGTACTGCTGATTCGGGCTTGGTGAGCTTTGATGCATCAGACCAGGCGAAATAGGGGTCAAGCAAGATCAAGCAAAAGGCATTGTTGGGGGTTGGGTTGCATGTCACCCTTGTTAGTCTGGTACGCCCTTTCCATGGGGGGGGGGAACCCCCGAAAAAAAATAGGTAGTCTCCCTGTGGTTTTCCTTTCAAAGCCCCAAAAAACCCTTTTGTTTCCCTGTCAACCCCAAAACATCCTTGTTGTTTCGCTTTCAAACCCCCAAAATCCCAGTGGTTGACCTGTCAAACCACAAGCATTTCTGTGGCTTCCCTTCCAAACCTAAAATTCCCGGTAGCTTCCCTTTCAAACCCAAAAAATCCATTTTGTATCCCTGAAACCCCAACATTCCCAGTGGTTTCCCTTAGCCCCAAAAGGGTAGACGGACCCAAACTGAAGAGCCGTGGCCGGGGACCCCGCCATAAAGTTCCCGAGGCCACCCTTATCCTGGCGAAAAGAACCCGCGAGCACGTGCCACATGCAACATGAGGCCCAAATGTCTCGGGCTCAAAAACGGGAATCCCCAAAAAGGCTGACGTGGGAACGAAGACTAGACCCTGTGGCTTGCCCCAGCTGATTCATTTTTTGAGCACCCAAATGTCCAAGACAAGTGGCAAAGGGGGGGGGGCAGGGGGAAAATAAGGGATTCGAGCAGCGAGACATCGAAATGCATTGGCGAGGAGGTATCTGACATACGCCTAAGGGCCACATATGTGTATGTATGAAATGTAATGTCATGCCATGCAATGTCTTGCGATGTAAATGAAAACGGAAATGCAAATGGAAATGCACATGTAAATGGACAGGCAATGTAATTGCAATGCACTGCAAGGTAATACAGTGCAATGTACTGAAATGCAACATAATGTATTTCAATGTAATGCAATGTATGTATGTATGTATGTATGTATGTATGTATGTGGTCACCCGCGAACACACATCTCTCACCGTGAATTCATCCGCTGCAGTCAAGCACTTACTTGCGGTGTGTGCAAGGGCCTTGTAAACAGATTGCAAAATACAGGTGTTTTGAGTATGTTTGTGACATACTATAGCTGTGCTGAATAACTCCCAACAATAGAACAATCCACAAACCAACACGGAATACGTGTTCGAGTTCAAGTCACGCAGCGTTTCAAGTGCGGCCCTACCAGCATTGTTGAATGTTAAGTAACACATGTCAATCAAAAACAGCTATCTTTTAGGTGTAACACATGCAAGGGTGCGTTGCGTACAACTGCATGAATCTGAATGTTGCACACTCAAAATCGAGAGCAACCCAAGCACTTCTTGTGAGATCGAAGCTCCAAAACATACACAGGGACAAACGCAAAAACAACTCTAGAGGCATCAGAAGTTCCTGGCCCGCAGTCCAATACGTTCATCTCATCTGTCCCTGCACCGGGAAAGAGAGAAACACGAGCAAAAGAGAGACAAAAGGACTCAAGGTGAGTGAAAGCGACAACACATGTTATTCAGTTTTGACAAGCTTGCGGCGCTGGCCCGCTGTTTGACAAACCCGTTGACACTCCTTGCCCACAATTTGGATCCGTTGTGACGCTGAAAGGCGAGGCCACCAAACGCATCAAAGAAAGAATCAACGCGCGACATATTTTGACAACTCCTTGTAGTGCTCTTGCAGCACATGGTCCCCATAGTCTCGGGGTTGTGACCCCAATCTGTAGTCTTATGTCCGGGGTATCTCTGGCCCACCCCTTTTCAACCGGACAAGGGCCATACGCTGCAAGCCAGAATAAATCGAGACAGGGTTTCAACCCTTTTCAGCTACACTCGGAGGGGAATAAAGCCACAGGCCAAAAGAGGGGCACTTGTTTGAATGCTACACCTGCTGTCCAAAACCCACAAGGATTTATTGCGGAATGGTCCCACCCCAAACCTTAAACCTTATGGGAAATAAATGCCCGGGTTTGAATCTAGCAGCCCTTTGCTTCTTTCCTAGGGGTGTGGCTGCTTCAAACTATTTTGCCCATGCCAGGCGAAAAAACTAGGGGTTTTGAGGGGGAATGGTCTTTGAATCAGGTTCCATGTTGGCCGTCCAACAGGCTACTCCGACGTTCAAGGTTGCGAGACCCGCCATGATCTGGAAGGTGTCGTCTTCTTCATCCTTCTTCTCCTGCTCCTAGGATTGCAACCAAACAAAAAGGCGCCTCAAACATGAACACTGTGTGCTGCATCTGCCTGAGCCCACTGTCAATTTGCAACCGGTGCCGCCAGCTGAATACATGCTGGTCAGGATTCGCCCAAAAATCGGCCTTCCATTTTACCCCAGTTAAATTTGTTTTCGAAGGGGTGCCCTGTTTTTGAAATGACACGACCTGTGGGTCAGGTGTTGGCGTTCTTTCTCTGTAGAAGGAGTCGAGCGTTGCGCTAGCGGTCGACATATGCCGCTCGCCCCCATGGCCAAAACGCCAAATAGACCACAGACAAAACAGCGCGGAACTATGGGATGCCTTTACAGAAACAGCGAACTTCCTTCACCCAGGTCATGCGATCGATTCGCTTTTGAGAAAAGCCGTGCAAATGCTGGGCACCGACTGAAAGGCATCACGCTAGTTGCTTTAATTTGGAGGTGCTGGCAATAGAACATTCACCAGTCATGATAATTGTCTCCCCATGTAGGACAAAGGATAACGGAGATGCGGGCAGTATACGGCTCGTTCCTCGAACTAGGAGCCAACCCATTCTCGCCCGCAAAATTGCTAGACCTCAATAATAAAGGCAGCTCAACCCACCAAGGCACCGCCAACAAAGTGGCGTGTCGGAACCTTGACCATAGACAGCATGGACCACAAGGGTTAAAACCCTTGATTCGTAGCGGGTACTTAGAGGGGGCTGGGGCCACTTTGTTCGCAAAGACATCGGCCGGGGGCCCCCGCTTTTCTGGCGGCTTTGACGGCCTTCGCTTTCTTCTCGGCCTCCTTCCTGGCAATGGATCCCGACAGATACTTGCAATCGGTGCGAGGGGCAGGGAAATCAGGAATGAGCCCAGGCGTTTTTTAAAGGAAACCACCAGTTCAATTGTTTGTCTAGGGCATTTCATTTCTCGTTCCCTGCGAACTATTTAGGACTCTACAAGCGACGCAACAAAGAGGCCTGTCAAATTTTGACCCGACAAATACAATTCAGGATGGTGAGTTCGCGACATGGCCAGCTGTCGGAATAGATAAAGTTGAAAGAAGCAGAACGACGGCGTGCTATAATGAAAAGAGCCACGTTTCCGCCCCTAAGCCCGGGTCTATGTTTTGCGAGCGGCACCCTGCTGTTTCCACCTAGGCCTCTGTCCCATCTGCCTGGCTACTGCCCCGTTGACCTTTTTTGCCCTTTGGCCACGGATGAGGAGCTGTTGGTTGCATGGCCTGGCTGTATGGGATGGTGCTGCTGCTTCTCAGCTCCTTGGGTTGACAGCACCACCAGCAGCCGAGTGGTGTCCAAAAGTCTGCTGTGCTGGGCGCGCGTTGATGGGGCTCTACACTGGTTTTGACGCAGAAGCAGCCTGCGTGAAGCTGATATCAAGCATCGGCGGACTCGGCTGGAGAAACGCCGAGCCCAGCCTTTCGCGTGGATCACGTCAGCGGAAGAGCTCCCTGCACTGATAGTCCAGATGCTGGATGAAAGCCAGCCTTTGGCGTGGATTACGTTAGCGCAGTTACTTCTAAACCATCGTCTTCAACTTCCGAGGTGCAATTCGCTTCAGCAGTGTCAGGGAGAAAGCGTTCCAACCCATTGACGTTCTGTGTTTGCCCTTCCAAGACGGGCGCAATACATTTCCTGGAAGGCTTGAGATTCCACTCACGAACAATTTAGCAAAAACTGGGAGACACAGCGAGAGGTCCTCTGAAAAGCTTGGGCCTGCTGCGTGGAAAACGCGTCACAAAGATGCCTCAAATGTGGAGTGCTTCATCGCAAGACACACACGCACACTCTGGGGTGAGTCTCAGTCAAATTCAAATACCCCGGCAGCCAAAATTTGCAGGCGGAACCACGACATCTGCGGCTACAAGAGACACGAAGCAGAACTTCTTAAATGTGGCCCCGAGGCCATCACCAGCTGCAGTCGACACATCTGGAAACGGCGGGATTGCACGCAGAACCACACTCCGTATTCGGCGCGATGGTTCTGACATTCTTGTGACAGCAGGACATGCACCTCGTGAAGTCAGGCCAATTCAGCACAAGCAAGTATTTTGGTAGCAGCTACGCGAAATTCTTAATTGGCATGGGGGCCTCCCCGTCATTCACATTGTCGCAAGTACAAGCATGGGCAATCGACCGCAAGCTGACCGAACAAGGCGAACAGGGGCGCCCGATTCTAGGTGGGTGAGCTGGTTGGCAAAAATCGCTTCCCACAAATGCGAGTTGGGTTGAAACTCATGGCTGCAAGCTTCGTTGGTGGAGGTGTCGGGCAGGGGGCCAGCTCAGCTAAGCAGGTTGTTGAATTTCTGGCAGCAATATCCTGGAAACTCAAGCAAAGCGGCATGAGTCAGAGACGTGAAATCTATACAGCGCATCACGCGAAAATATACCGCGACCATCGCAAAACACTGAACGCCTTGATAAGGCAGCCGAGCTGCTTCACCGTAACCCCCTGCTGGGAAATGGGTATCAATGACAGGACGCAACGACCAAGAAACACTTGGGTAGATCCATGGCGTTGTTGCTCGCGCAGGAGCACATATTTTGAGCAAAAGTTCAAGTTGGTTCTATGCCACCGTTACAGCACAACCTGAATGTTCCATCGTAGCCCTCCCAGCTCAATCGCGGAGCTGGAAGCAAAAACGTTGGCCCCCCGAACATGAAGCGCGCAAGTCTCCATTCATCTGCGAGACCAGGCTCGCCTTGAGCCATAATGTCTACGATGCTAACTCAGCGACAGAGAGTTCGACACTGTACTACCACTTGCAGATGTTGCTGCATGCACGGAGTGGACCAACGCCTGATGAATGCAGTACAACCAGCAGACTACACGAGGCAACAAACTTGTCAACTTAGCACGTGTGCATCCTCATCAGCTTGTGCTATACAGTGGGTGGACAAGACCGCTACACAGCCAATGGCTGCAAAACACTATGACAATTGAACAACAGGATCAGCCCACCTGGTACAAGAAGAGTTGGATACTTGATCAAACTACTTGATCAAACTATTGAAATTGAAACCTTCATGCGGTAAACAACAGTTTGACGAGAAGATTCTACAATGCGAACAGGTACGAACGTGACAACGAAGCAGCACTACCTTACGGAGTGAAAGCTGCAGTACTACTGCATGGGGGTTGTTATATGCCTTTGCCCGGGAATGGGTCCTTGGGCCGCACTTGCGCGGCACTTGCGCGGACTTGCGCCCGCACAGCGATGCAGAAACTAGGTTTCGTTGACCTCGGTTTGCGAAGTTTTCGCGTGGATTGCGCGCAAGCTTTTCTAAGCAGTGTGTTTGTCGTTGACACATCTACCCACAAAGGCTCTTCCCGCTGAGGTCGCTCCCAGCAATTCTAGGCCAGCAGCATACTCTTGACCCAAGCAGGCTCTGCCACACAGCTTGGACACAGTCTGAAAGAAGGAAAGTGCATGTTGCGCCTACCTATCCATTGCTTGAACCGCGCCGCTAGTAGCATCCGAGACAGCAAATGGCTAGATGTCTTGCTGGGGGGTCTCGTGCTTGCGCGCGCAAGCCGCGCGCAAGCCGCGCGGCTTGCGCGGATTTTGTCGTGTCAGTTGCTTATTGTTGAAGTCATGACCGCAGAAGCTTTGGCTTCGTTCCGCGTGTGACTGAAGAAAACACACACCTTTGCAAACAAGCTTGTGACCTACACATGACCCAAGCAACATTCGAAAAGCATAAGCACTGTAAAAAAAATATCACCTCCTTTCACGAAGCTAGGCAACATCAGTACATGAAACCCTTCAAAACTGTAGCCTTGCGCGTCCCTGGGGCCGCACTTGCGCGCTCCTTGCGCGCGCACAGCTTTTGACAACTTGTACTTCTCCCCGTTCGGCGATAATTAAAACCGAAGACTGGGGTTTAAGGACGGCCCCCAAATGAACCCAGAGGAGGTCTGCAACAGCATCTCCAACTACCAGCTGGTTTGATGGCTGCATATACCTCAGAGCGTGACGTGGTGATCGCGTACTACCGAACGATTCCTGCATTCTCCAAAATTCAAATGAGAATAATTACTTCGTCAGCAATCGGCATCAACTATGGAGAACCAGCCGTCGTGTCTATTCAAAGGAAACTGGAACAAAGGGGCCAAAGGCAAGGAACTTGTTACACACTACACCCAACATTGCAGAACGGCAGTTTGGCAACTACACGCAGCAGTGTTAAGAGGATTACAACCCACAAGCAAAGGAGATCGACGAGCAAGACTAGGAAAACTACGCACTAGCAGGGCATTATGCAGAAACAGCAGGGAAAACTGGCAAGAACCCAAATGGGACTACAGCAATCAGGAACAGGGTTGGTGGAACTGCGATGAGCACCTTGCGGCCTTTGAGGCTGGGCTATGCGTCTACACCTGACAGTGGAATAAACGACAACCTCATCATTGGTCACAGCACAGCGAAGAGCACCACAAAATAGCAAGACATACTACCAGCTGGAACGACTGCCGCACAAGGTACAGCAGGTACCTACAAAAAGACGCGCATGCAACACAGACTTGCCCCTTTACTGGTGAGGCGACAACGACAGCAAAGTAGAGATGCGACGCTCGCACATCTCTAAGGCGATCAACAACATACGCACAACCAAAACAGAAGCAAACACACAATCTACTTCTGGACTCTGGAGCATCCATATGTTTGCCCCAGAGACTCGCACGAGATTTACCGCTGCGCCCTTGCACTACGATTTCGCTGACAAATGTTGTCCATAGATTCCATCTGCGTGCCAAAACAACTTCAAAGGGGGCAGCTTAAAACTGGGCTGCCCTCAGATCCCCCTCTAAAAGTTTAACTTTTAGTGGGTTAAATGGAAACTACTACTAAACACTAAAAGGATCTAAAAAGCTAAGGAACCCGAGGGGGGAGCCATCAAGAAAATAGACCCCGGCACTCCCAGGCGACCCCCAAACCCACTGCCTGGCTTCTGCTTTGTCTGCCTGACGGCTCAAGCAGAGGCAGGCCGGCAGATCGGTGGCCCAAGTGGGCATGTCGTTTTGAAGAGAGTGCAACTTTGGTACAGCGGGCTCGGTCTACGGGAAATCAATAGGAAACCAAATGTGGAGGATCCTCCAAATTGAAACACATGTGCTTGTGCTTGGCGTCCTTTTCAAGCTTCAAAATGGCTTTCCAATCTAATCCCCTTCCAATGTCAAGCAGAGTCAATCTGATATCCCAATCGGTGCATCGTCAGAACGTGTCTTTAGAAACGAAGGATTTTGACGACAATGCACGCAAGCCAGTCGCAAACCAAAGCCCCAAGGTTGCGATGTCATATGCACAGTGCTTCCTATGGCACGTCCTTTGAACGTGGCAGGGTTTATCATCCTAACACAAACCCGTCACAAGGGGAGTCCATAGAGTATGAAGCATCTACAAATCCTGCAGCTCATTCCTGAGATTGGCACAGAACGCCTAAACTTTTTGTTTACCAAAATGGTCTTCCCAAACGGTGACTAAAGATCCAGGAACTCAGAGAGCGAGGCAAATGCCTGTGGCTCAAAAACATGGTGCCAAAATGGCACCTTGGTAAATGCCACCAAAGAAAGGGGACCCCAGTTGTTTAGCTTTGAGCCACACCATATGCAACGCCCAACCTCCCCAGTCGCGCCTCCTTCTTCTTTTGCATCGTCTGAGCGATGACGTCGCTTACCCCTATGAGGTTCTTGGTGGCAGCGTCCTGCCGAGAGCCCAGTGGCAGAGGCCCTGGAATTTCAATCGACACTTGAGACATGAGAAGAACATGGGGCATTCTTGCCGCAATTTCCACCATTTTGGGTCTCCAACAACCCCAAATCAGATTATTCAAGGGTGACAGCCAAGCTGGTCTCATGGCACCGGCATTGGGCCAACAGCCCAACGAGCCTTGGCTCGAAGCCGCTTTTCAGACTTTGGGACATGGAATGAGAGGCCAGCTCAGGGACAGCTTGCTGCGGGGATCAGGCCAGCGTGTTCCTGAGAGTGTTGCTGTGCCAGTGGGGGGGCACACACACACACACACCATTCGCAGGTGAGCCGCATTGCGCTCCCTGACCATGTGTGAGACCAACATGGCCCAAAAGAAAGCCAAGAGGTTCCAAAGACCAGTTGCGGGGAAAAACTCAAAGCCCCACGTTGCGTGTCCCTCTTGGTTCCTCGCGATAAACTTTGAGCAAAAGCAACAACCATACAGGATGGTCCCTTTTGCCAAATTCTTGTTTGGAGTAGGTTCGGCATACCAGGAGTCCATTAACTCCAAAAAGGCTTAAATGGATAAGCCTGCAACCCGCACCATGTCACTACAGGAATCGAATCATTCCCGTGCTTGCCATCCCGGTGCCTCGACAAACACATGAGACACCCCACACATGTGTGTGTGTGTGTGTGTGCGCGTTCAAAGGTACCCTCTTGCTTCCTCTTTTTACGCAAGCCCCGTCACAGTGTCTGCCTACTGCTTTACTTTTCTCGGCCAAGCGTCAAAAGCCAAGGCAACCCGTAAACCTAAGGTGCGGAAGTCATCTCAGAGCCTCGCATCAACAGGGGAGTTGACAAGATTGATTCAACCTGCCCTTGGTCCAAGACACCCGTTTCCAAGGGCAACAATGTGTTACCAGAGTCTCAAGAACGCTTCCATGGATCTGACACGGCTGAAGGTTGTGATCGACTCCAACAACCATGGCCCTCCCTCTCCTTCGCCGTTTCCCTCTCTTTCTTTTCCTCCTTGTCTCGCTTATCTTGAGGGGCCTGCAATAGCAGTGTGCGTGTCTGGGCGAAGAACAACTCCAAAGGCCTGAGTGGCAATGCGTGCCTCGCAATTTCCCTTGAGGCTTTCCTTTGCTGAATACACACATACAGTTGCAGGAGTAAAACTGGAAGTTCTTGATGACGGAAATCCCTGCAAAAGGGACCTTTTGATCGACAGCTGGGATCCCAGCGGATCCACTTGCCACTACGTAGCCAGGATACTTGCCTCCAGGTTTTGCAATTGCATGGTTTGCCTGGACACCGGGCCAACTAGACCCACTGGGCAGGTCTTAAAGGCCACACTCGACGTCAGCTTTGCCAGGTCCCTAAGAGGGACCTGCCGATTTCGGGACCATCCCAGCGGACCGGATGCGTCTTCCGCCACACATTCTTGCTTGGAAGGTCCCAATGAAACAAACCACCGCGCATTCTGTTAAATGCTATGATAATAATAGACGTATGGCATTATGTATAGTTGTCCAACCACCTAAATTCTACAAGGGTGGCCATGCCCCCAACAAAATGGATTATTTGTTTGATGAAATGAATGATTGACTGCCCCGAAACCATTTGCCCGGCATTGCTTCAAGAATGCCAATGACTTTCCATGATTTCTTCGGGTGTGCCCTCTGGTCATGTCATGCTACCCCACCTCCCCGACGGTGGGTGGCTTGGGGGGCGGCTTGGGGGATACCGCAAGAAGGGCGACTTAGGTTGGTTGCCCGAGGCTGTAGGCTGTTTGGGGATGAGGGTACCAGGGCTTGGAGGTGCTGGGGGTGTTTCCATATATATATATATATATATGTATTGCATGTATGCATATGTAGGTATATGCATATAACGTATGTGCGACTTCAACAGAAGCAAACATGTACATACAAATGTCCACCTTTGTTATTTTACACCTACGGATACATATCTATATAAGTTGGATGTCTGTATAAAATAAACATTTTACACACACACACCTTCATATTGCCATAATGACGTCTACTAGCCGTTCTCAGCTCTCCAGACACTGCTTTTGTTTTTCTCGTTCTCTCAGGCGGCCGATTTCAGACTCCGGGATCGCCTTGGGAGCTCCTCCGTAGCCAGACGCCGTGGCGTCCCCGGTGGATGCCCAAAGATCTAAGCCTCCGCCCAGCTTCTCCTGAGCGGAACACCCCAGCCCGCGCTTCCCAGCCCCTGCTTCGGGCGGCAGAAACAAAGCTTCCGAGAGAGAATTGGGGTGTGGTTGCGTGGCTGCTCTGCTTTCAAGGAGACCTCTTGAAGAGGGCGAGATGATCTTAGAGGGGAAAGCATCGGAAACGCGTAGGATGATTCGAGGAAATGGTGTGCTTCCGACCTATGAAAGCTTGGGAGTACCATGCAGGGTAGCCTACAAGCTAAGCCACCTGATCCGTCCAACATGTCTGCACCCCTGTTTGGCCCATGACAAAGTAAACCAACCTGTTCACTGAAAGCAATGCCCAACAGCTGAGAAATAGAACTCAAAATAGGCTGAATCGACCCGAGTCGCCGTTCAATCAGTTGTTGTTGCTAGGCTCCGCCCCAGAATCAGGTCTAAATTGTGTGCTGGTGGATGCTTGAACATGATGAGTTCCACTCCGGAACAAAGCCACAGAGAGTTCAGTCTGGCATTCGCTGCCACAAGTCAACTGTGGACGCACATCACCAACCAAACAGTCATTGGCATCATGCACAAAATCAGCTCTGTGACAGTTGCCAAAACGGGCTATGCCCTTGACTACTTCATCACGTGGCAGGCGATAGGTATCATAAGAAGCGGTTCTACGACTAACACAACCCACAGGATGGTGACTGAATCCCCATTCACAGCAGCTCAAGCCGCCTTTTTCTCCTTCTTCTCCTTTTTCTCATCCTTCTCCTTCTTCTCATCCTTCTCCTTCTTGTCTTTCTTCTCGTCCTTTTCCTTCTTCTCCTTCTTCTCGTCCTTCTCCTTCTTCTCCTTTTTGTCCTTCTTCTCCTTCTCTGCCATGGCGCTTGGGCGCGAAGGGGATTCCGCTGATGGTTTCGGGCTCGATCGGCTCGAGTGCACTTGGAGTGGGGCCGCTGGGCTGCCTGCTGTGGGAGTGCTGGGGGCTGACGAACTTCGAGTTCGGGCGGAGATGGCTGCGCAATCCCAAAAGCTCGACTGGCAAGAAACCGCCTGAACTGCTCCACGCATGGAATCCAAGACTCAACTAAAACAACTACATCAGCGACAAGCAAACTAAGCAAGGTCCACACAAGAAAACACGTCCAACACGCGCGCAAACATGCGAGCAAGCGAGCAGGCAGGCAGGCAGGCGGGCAGGCAGGCATGCAATCAAGCAAAGCAACAAAAACAAAGAAGCAAAGACGCAACGCAACGAGAAAACGGCCCAAAGACGCAAAGAAACAAACAAGCAAAGTCACAACGATACAAAGTTCACAAAGAAACAAAGAAACAAAGGCACAAATACGCAAAGAAACAAAGAGACATCAAACACAGAATCAAAGGAGCAAAGAAGCAAAAAAGCAACACGTACATATTTAAAACACTCGCTTCCTTTTGTTTAAGAAGCAAAGCAACAAAGACACACCGAAACAGAGAAACAAAGAAGCAACAAAACAGATAAACAAATAGACAAATAAACAAATACACAATCAAAACAACACAAACAAACAACCACTCATGCAACCAACCAACCAACCAAACGAACAAACGAACAAACAAACCAAAAACAAACTAGAAAGCAAGCAAACTAGCAAACCAAACCAACCAACCAATCGACCGACCATAAACTAATTAATAAATAAACAAGCAACCAAACAAACAAGCAAACAAACAACACACAGCAGCACACAACAACGCGAAACAAACCAAGACCGCACAAAATAACACAACACCACACACACACACAAACAGAACAAACACAACACAACCAGACACGCGAGCAAGTAAGCACGCAAACAAACGAACCAACCAACTAACCAACAAACAATCAAAGCAACAAACAAATGATATACAGGACCCAAAACCCCAAGAAGCCAAGGAAATGTCAAACAATTCAAACACACATCATTGATGCATAGCATCTTAATTCTTGATTGTGCAATTCCAACAAATACCTGCAACACAGTGTATGTATTGAAATGGATTTGACTTCAACAAAACTGCCCATCCATTAACATGGAATATCATGGAAGCCTGTGGCTGTGTCGCAACACTAGGCGCCTAAAGAACATTGTGAGAAGATGTTCGAGTATCAAGCATGGTGCCACGGACAGTCCAGTTGCTCAGCCCAAACACACCAGGGACAACCAGTGAACATCCCAATCCCCACTAAAATAGAGTAAAATGGGTGGTGCACCTACCCCAAATATGGTACCATTGGTTTTGACCCACAGCCATATGTTCGTCCTGGATGGTGGCGGGCGGATCTGACTTCATCGAATACTGCGCCGCGGTATTCGAAGCTCGACGCCTTTCCCGGCCGTTCGGCCAGCTTGGCCGAGGGGGCGCGAGGGACCACGCTCCAAACCGGTTGTTCCGTTGAGCGGCGCCCAGAACCAAAGGGAGTGAAAACTCAGACTGCCATCCCACAATCTTGGCGAGACACTTGCACGGATGTGTCCTTTCTAATTATGTTAAAAGTTACTACCCTGTGAGGGTGGTGTTGAAAGAAGAACAAAAGGACAAACCACCATATCGGGGAAAAAGCCCTACATCTTGTGTCGGGCTACGTCTGGGCACGCATGGGTTTCAGTTCCGATTGGCGACGCGACCTAAGGCTCAGCATCCCCTTAGGGGATCTGGTTGCAAATCTTTGGCTCAAGCCCATGGATCCACATTCGTTGATCCAACACTAAGCCGATCAACGGATTTTGGTTGTCTCAAAAGAGGTGGCGGTACAACCGCAACCACTCCATGGAATCCTTTTCGCGTTTAGGCAACCAGGTTTTAGAAGACGTACGGGTGTGTCATTTTTGAGGGGACTCGCAACATGGGTGGCTTTTCCTGTTGGTGCTCCTTCTAAACCAGATGGGTACCTCAAAGAATCACAAATCCATATGGAATACATTTCAGCATTTTCTTGCAATGCACTACACCAGCAAATCACCGATCGCGGTGGGCTCGAGCCATCGAAAGAATCAAGCAGGGTTGCTCCCAATGATTCGAACTTTTCATGAACTGTAAGGGACCCCTTGCGAACCCTTCTTGGGGTTGGCCCTTTTGAACGGGTTTCCCCAAAGTGTGGAAAACTTGGGTAGCTTAGCTGGTTTTTGTTGGGAAGCTGGTCCCTTCTCCTCCCAATCCAACAGTCCAATAGAATTGTAGACTCAAATGAGCCAATCCATTCATTTGTCCTAAAATGGGAAGCCCGAAAGCCTGGTACTCAAGGGTTGGCTTCCCTTACATGTCGAGCTGCAAGGCAATGAGACTCACTAAGTAGCCTAAGATTCTAAGGGATTCAGTAAACTACATTCCCCCAAAAGCCCTCGCCCCAATGTCAATTGCTCATGTTGGCCTTCCTGTTCGCAGCAACGGGCATCCTTTGCCGGCTTCGCTTAAATTCAGAATGCTCCGTGATGTAACCTCCAAAATAGCCCCTGCTTTCCCTTGGGCTTAAAGCTGACCCCCCCGAAGCAGCACTCTCAAGAACAAGATCTATACGGGAGCAACCCCATCTTGCTATGTGCATGGGAAAAGGCCCCGGCAAACTTGGCTCACCTCGCCTGCAAGTGCTCCAACCCACCGCTAATTGACGTTTCCTGCTCGGAGTGGCCAGAATCTGTTTAAACACGTTGCCTGTATCGAGCTATGAGGCCACCCATCAACCCGAAGCTGGCAGGGATATCATGTGAATGGGTATGACTTTCGGGAGCAAATCATTGAAACAAGTTGAAAAGCGATGGGTAGATATGACTTGCTTCAAGAAAGCAATTGAAGGAAACCACGTTCAGGGATAATATGACTTCGTGGGAGCGGGGTGAGCATTTCAGGGAAACCGACAAGCTGTCATCCAATCAGAAGTATTTAACTACAGTTGATACATCTGTCGCTGTCACTTGTCGAGCTGCAAGGCAATGAGGCTCAATAAGGAGTCTTACATTCTAAGGGATTCAGTAAACTACATTTTCGCAAAAGACCTCGCCTAACCGTTGGGAGAATAGACCAGCATAGAAAATACACAACCAAGCATCAGCAGCCGGAATCAACAATACAAATTCGCCCACCCATTGCCCAACCAACATTGAAGTGAATCACTGATGAGGGACTAGATCGTCAACTCCCGCTCCAAAGGGGATGCACACCCACAAACACACCACAGAAACACAAACACAGACCCACTCTCGCACACACACACACACACACACCCACACGCACACGCACACGCACACGCACACACACGCACACACACACACACAAACAAACAAACAAACACAAACACACACACACACACACAAACACAAACACAAACACACAGACACACACCAACACACACCAACACACACCAACACACACCAACACACACCAACACACACCAACACACACCAACACACACCAACACAACACACACCAACACACACCAACACACACCAACACAACACACACCAACACACACACACACAAAAACACGCGAACACACACACACACACACACACACACACACACACACACACACACACACATGCAAACATATAACCACTAAAACACAAAAGCAAAGCAACGCGCACCCGCACAACCACACAAACGCACAAGAGCAAAACAAAACAACCCCACGCACACTCACACAACCCCCCCCCGCCCCCCCCCCCAAAAAAAAAAACAACAACAACAAAAACAACGCAAACACTCACACACACACACACACACACACACTCACGCACTCACTCACTCACTCACTCACTCACTCACTCACTCACTCACTCACTCACTCACTCACTCACTCACTCACTCACTCACTCACTCACTCACTCACTCACTCACTCACTCACTCACTCACTCACTCACTCACTCACTCACTCACTCACTCACTCACTCACTCACTCACTGACACACACACACACACATCACGCGTGCGCGCGTGCGCAAAGGCACGCACGCACTCACGCACGCACCTGCACGCAACTTGCACGCACCCGCAGGCATGCATACGCACGCATGCACAGGAACGCATGCACAGGAACGCATGCACCCGCACGCACCAGCACGCACTCACCCGCACGCACGCACACGCACAGCAGTGATTCGTGTGCCCTCGGAGCTGCTTCTGATCCGTGCCTGATTCGCATTCCACTCCTGGAAAGCATCAGTCGCGCTCTGCAAGAACTGACCCCCAAAAGGATGACCCGCAAGTTGGGCCCATTTTGTTTAAACAACCAGTTTCTGATCCTCGGGTTGGCCGAACCTTGCCTGACCCTCTACTGCAAAGCGAGCAAGACTTCCGTTGCAAAAGCAACAACTCAGACCTGTCAGGCAGAAGTTGCAAACTTGGTGCACGTTGGAGAAAGCCTTACGTAACGGAGGCCACAGCCACAGCAGAAGCTAAATGAGCTGTAGGTGGTCGTGCAGGGTTGTATCTGAATCATCGGGCTAGAGCTCCGTCACTAGTAAAAAGGAGGACTAGCAAAACGGGGCCCTTCAAAGGACGCCGCCAGGGAGCCTTGGGGAAAGAAAGCGGGATACAAGCTCTTCACCTGAGCTGACTAGATGCTTCCAATGGCAACATTGATTTGATCTCGTTTGGCAGAGAACGAAGCTTTGAGACAAAAGCGTGGCACTTGCCTCTTGAACAATCACGCAGGGCATGTAGACACATGGGTGCTATGCAAGGTGGGCTTGTTGGTAGGTGGCAACAAAACACTTATCGGGGTTAGAGAGAGGGTTGAAAAGACTTCTAACAGTTGGCTTACACAATCTGTGCAGTCAAACTGACATGTTTGCTTTTAAGAGAAACCAAAAGGAAACCAACCTTTGACACCCAGCGATCATTGTCACAAATGTAAGAA